CAGAAGGAGAAAGCTCATATTTACCGAACAGCTGAGCAACGACGAAGTTTTAGAGAAAATGGAAGCAAAAATGAAATTTATATATGGAATCAGAAATGGACAATTAAAATGTCTTGGGAATATAGTGAAGAAAGAGAGCTTGACAAATATGACACCCACAGCACATATTGAAGGCAACAGGAGCGGAAGAAAACTTCGCATAATCTACCTAAGGAGATTGTGTTAATAGATGACAGTTTTTAGGAGAGATAACAAAAAGTCAAAATTTACTATGAACTGCAAAAGTGCAGAAAAATGTGGAGAGCTATGATCGCCAATGTGCTAAAGGAGGACGCTACATAAAAAAGAAGAGACATTTTCATGAAAATGACTAAAGCAATAAGATTTTTAAAAAAAACCTTACGCTTCAAGCCAACGAGTACAGAGGAACAGCGATAGATTCAAAATAAAATCTCATTTTATCTGATATTGAAACCACAATTAAAATTTTCCAAAGCAATTTCCATGTTTTCTATTAGAAGAATGAGATTGTGCAACATTTGTAAAGCAAAGAACGTGCTCGGCCCAATTTCTAAAAAAATCACCATTCGGAATATCAGATTTCGAAATATTTAGAAGTTGATAGCTCATATTTACTTTAACAAATGCTACGCAATCGTCTTTCTTATATTTTAACATATTTTAAAGCTGTGCTGAATAAAGCTTAGATTCGTAAGCACCAGAAAATATTTGAAAAAATATAGCTATATATTTTCTTTATTTAACAGAGATAATCTTTAACAACAAATTAGGAAAATTACGACAGATGGAACCGAAAACTGTTCTCATGAAGGCGTAGCGTTCTTTGGTTTGGGCAAAATAGTTTTTCCCTTCAGTATCTGTTTATATTTCTAAGATAAGGTATTATGTATACTATTTACATTATTCAGACTATTGTCTTTATCTTTGCCGCCATATTTATTACAATGTTTCGGCCGTTGTACGCTACGGCCTTCTTCAGGTGGTTGGAATGTCGAACTGAACCCTTTATTCGCTCGCTGGCGTAGACTGTTCTAGTTCCACGTGCCATGTTTAATGGATATCAGTTATCAGTTATCTCCTGTTAATTCCCCTCTCCAAGTTTTCCACCGCCTTAACCGTGTATTGAACTCCCATTATTTGAGTTCTGTCATTGGATCTAACTAACGCCTTTATCCACTGTGTAATGTGTCCTTGAGGCAGTGGAAAACTTGGAGAGGGAAATTAACAGGAGATAACTGATAATAGACATCTATTAAACATGGCACCTGGAACTAGAACAGTCTACCGCAGTGAGTGAAAAAAAAGAGTTCAGTTCGACAATCCAACCACCTGAAGAAGGCGGGAGCGTACAACGACTGAAACGTTGTAATAAATATAGCGACAAAGATGAGGACAATAGTCCGTATAATATAAATAGTGAATTTTTACCCTTGTTCAGCTGAGATTCATAAAAGTGTGAGCAGTTCAATGATAGTCATACTCTACTTATTTCTTAGAGCCGTCTTTTGTATAACATTACATAAATCTAAGGATAGCCTCTCAGCTGGATTAGAATAAGCAGACGACATCTGCAAAGGATCAGAAAGGCAACAACATCCTGCAAAAGTCACCTCCTGGGTGAATATTTTCGGCACTAGCGTAAACTGAATATTTTAGCATCAAGTGTAAACCGGACCCATGTCTTCCGTTTTGATTCTTGTGTAAACGGAACCCATGTCGACCATTTTAACTCCAGGGTAAACGGTTTGGTTTGATTTATTTTGTTTTACGGCATATCAATGCGTTATTTAATGCCGACAACATTTTTAGGATAGATTTGAATGAATACAATATGTATTCTTTGGTTTAGATTGGTTTGGTTTATCTTGTTTTACGGCAGATCAACCTCAATGGGTTATTAAATGCCGACAACATTTTCAGGATAGATTTGTTTTAATACAATATGTATTCTTTGGTTTAGATTGGTTTGGTTTATTTTGATGTACGTCATATCAACTTCAATGGGTTATTTGATGCTGACAAAATTTTTTATTGCTGGTAATATTTTGTTTTGTCAAAAATCTGTTTCTGCTAATATTTTTTTCCTTCAAAATTGTATTACTGATAATAATTTAAAAAACATATTGCTGGTAATAGTTAACTATTTGCCCATAGCTGATCCTAAGAGGTGCTACCACCCCGAGTCAGGGTGGTCTGGGAACACCAGCAATTAAGAGGTGGTTCCATGCTCCTCAAAACCTCCTGATCAGAGGTCTTGCTACTGGACGTAGTTAATCGTCTTACCCAGGACGTACAGTGTAAACGAGATACATGTCTAACTTTTTAGTCTACTTTAAACTAGACCTATGTCTACCATCTATGATAAATTCAACCTAAATGTACCTTTTCTTTTTTACTCTAGTGCAAACCAAACCCATTTCTACCTTTTTGGTTTGTGTGTAAACCGGAGCTATGTCTATCTCTTTGACTCTCGTAGACTTATGTCTATTAATTCACGGCAATTTTTGTCCTTTAAGAATTATATTGACATTAACTTTTCATATGTCATTAGCTTATCCAACCCAGCGGTAAATATAAAAACGTCGCTTTGAGACTATTAATCCGCAAAGCTATAATTAGCAATTAATGAAGTATTTGAAATTAATGGATTCTTTCCGAGGAAATACTTATTCATCTTCCGTATTCTGCAGATTTCTCAATATCAGACTCTTATTTTGCTCCTAGCAACACTCCTTGTCTGATCATACGATTCCAAATATTTGAAGATCTCGATAAATTCCTCCAATCAAAGCAGGAATCGATGTATCAAGAGATAACACGCAAATCATTTGAATGTTTGTCATAAAGAATAAAAACTACAGAAAATATTTGCATCTCCGAGTAATGCTGTTATGCATTCTCATGAATAATAAAATCTGTTTAAAATGCCAGAAAACCTGACGTCAACATCATATGCTTTACGCCTAATTCTACTTAAAATTAATTCATATCACATATTAATTTTGAAATAAATGAACAAGTGAGAATGGAACAAAAGAACAGTTTAAGAAACGTTCTTTTCCATATGAGATTAAGCGTGCCTTTCAGAAAGAACAAAACTATTATTCTTCTACAAGATATCGCTTATTTATAGGTATTTATTTGTTCGTATTACTTTAAAAGATATATTTAGTGGATACGCATGCTTGAGAAGATATCCCTGTTTTTTTACGCAATGGAAATCTACGTCTACCGGCCTGTGAATTCAAGAGACTTCATAAGGAAAAAAAATCTGACTTCCGGCAAGTTTCGGAACTACGCTTCCTTAATCTTGGGTTATGAATGAATTCTAGTATTTCCTTAGAAGTGTCGCTGTTTCCAATTACGATAGAAATCGATATGATTTATTCGGGGTCTCTGCATCAATTTCTATATCCTCGTCAGGTCGACAGTTTTACTATTCAGCAGCCGCTATAATATTGAAGCCCTGTGTCAGTCGAAGCATAATAAATTTTGCTGGTGACGCTGTCGGGTTAATCGCACCTAATTTTCGAAATTTATCCTAGGGGACGCTCTCCGGACTATAAATACTCTGCGATAGTTTTCGTAGTCTCTTCTTATCTTATTCCCTTGCTTGTCAGCATGTAAATCTCTCGCGGAGAACGCGCTTTCCTTTGTAAAACGTACGAGTTAACCACTCATACACAACACATGTATGTACACACATTCACTCACTTCAAATACTTGGAACGCAAACGGTTTTTACATTCTTGTCTTATACACATTAGTGTCTTTCTCACTTGTTTACCTTTATTGCTAATACATATTCATTTTTTTGGTTCATATATATTGGTTCCTGTCGTTTCTTTCTATTTTCACAGGTGGACTCACATTCTGAGTCCGCCATTTTTGTTGTGGGTATTTCAGCAGACAACGTGTTATTCCCAGTTTCAATCACCGACATTAATAATCCCAGCAATAATGTTGGAAAACGCATAACCGCCCGCAGCAACACTAATACTTAAAGTAGCGTGTGTTCAATCAACATTGGAACGATTTGGCAGGCTAAGTTAATACTTAATAGCATGATATTATTTTATTATAATAAATCTATGAATTCTTTAGAAATACATGTATGTATCTATCTTTCTATCGTTATGTCTATGTATCAACGTATCGAGTGTCACATCGTTAGTTTACCTGCAACTAAACCTTTACTCCCACCAGGATTTTCTCACGATCGTGATAACGAATACGACTCCCGTAACCCATTTTTCTTCTTTTAGAATGGCAGAAACCATTTCTATAGAGATCCGTCTACACTGCTCTTTGCCCATAGATAGTGGGGGGAAAAGTGGATTCATGCCTTTCCCAAGGGTATTTACGTGTAAGTAAATGTAACGAACTCGACTGGAATTCGAACTTACCTTTTAAGCGTTATCATTTACAACCCCTGCTTTTCTAATAGGGTTTAAAAATACAAGACACGTCAACAGAAGAATGAATCGTTTCATAGCATCAGCTGCCTTCTAGCACGGGCTAAGGGATATAGAAATGCCTGAAACGTGTGTCTGAACAATCTGACTGGGAAGGTCTAAGTCTTTAACTGGGAGAAGCAAAACTTTTATGCAACACTTGCATTCACTGATGCTGACTGTTTCTTTTCTGGGGTACATGCTTTTCTTGCTGGGGGAATGGGTTTGATGCAGTGCAAAGTTTTTCTTCATTTTAAAAACTTATTGCGTAAGCTCTATACAAAAGTCGATTTGCCTCGTGCAACTGAAAGTGCACCGGACGCCTGGCGCGGACGAAGACCGCAAAGCAACGCCACAACCGGAAGATCTTGTTTGCTGGGTCTGTGGAAAATTATATAAATCAATTGCTATCTTCAAAACTCGCAGCATTTATTTAACGAATGAACAGTCATCACATCTATCTATCTATCTATACATACATACATATATATATATATACTCTTTTTCTTGCCAATCTATCATAATATGCTCATTATCTGTCTATCTATCTATCTCATTCTGCTCATATCTATCTATCTATCTATCTATCTATCTATCTCATTCTGCTCATATCTATCTATCTATCTATCTATCTATCTATCTATCTATCTATCTATCTATCATTCTTCTGCTCATATCTATCTATCTATCTATCTATCTATCTCATTCTGCTCATATCTATCTATCTATCTATCTATCTATCTATCTATCTATCTATCTATCTATCTGGCTTACGGTCTTCGAATATCAGCCACATGACTTTGAAACACCGGTTCTCATTGGGAAATGTATGAATACACCTCTTCTCCAGGCCATGGGTTAATTTATAACACTTGTATCACTAAACGATTATCATCTCGAAAAAAAAAATCATACAATCTAAAAATATTTTCTGGCTTTAAAATAACATGCAATGTGTTGCTAACCCGTAAAAAACTAATCAATCATATCTATCTATTTTTTATGTTTATACGTTCTTTTTATAGATACAAGTATTTAAGTAAATTCTCTGTTTATAATAAACAGTATTAACAACATTTACCGGCCGGAATGTCCGAGAAATTTCATAGAAAATATGCGTCCTCCGACTGGACACGAACCAGTAACCTATACGGAACCGTCATTTAGCCTGACGTGCCTTTAACCGATTGAGCCATAGAGGAGCGTTTTCGGTTAGCAAGGTCGATTTTACTGTTTTTAATCTACAATTCTCCAATCGGTAAAAGCACGTCAGGCTATATGACGGTTCCGTATAGGATACAGGTTCGATTCCTGTCAAAGGAATCATATTTTCTATGAAAATTTCTCGGACATTCAGGCCGGTAAATGTTGTTAATACTGTTTATTATAAACAGAGAATTAAAAATATCTTAAAAATAATTGTCGGACTTTGTCCATTTCATAAAGTGTGTCTGTCTGTCTGTCTGTCTGTCTGTCTATCTATCTATCTATCTATCTATCTATCTATTCTCGTCTGTATTCATCTATGCCTATGTATGCGCATTTATCTTGAACAGATAGACAAATTTATTTTTAATGAGATTCACACATAGAAAACATATCAATGTTAAATTCGTCGATATCCATGTGCCTTTTAGCATCGGTTGCTTTAGTGTAAGCTGTGAATGTACTGGAATGTTACTATATAGCATATAATAAATACAATTCAGTCGGTAATTGAGAAGAAACAGATTTTTCGTTGAATTATCGACTTTTGAAGCCTGCACTGCCTGACACCATTCAATTGAGAGCAGCATTTCATTTTCTGATTTGTTTTCGCAGTTTACAATCTATTGATATATATGTTTTCGATTTCGTTACTTTTCGAAAAAATCCATTTAATATTGCTGAATATGAAGCATTTCTGCTCACATAACTCTCTCTCTCTCTCTTTCTTTCTCTGTATATATATATATATATATATATATATATATATATATATATATATATATGTATGTTCACAAACGGGAAAATAAAAAGAGACGTGCGGGTACTGAAAGCCCGTCCATGAAGCCCTTCGATCAAAATTATGATGTATAGCTATTTGTTCAGAGGTTCAAGCGAAGAAACTTTCAATACTACTTTTCACAAATAACACACTGTAGCTCCGAAAGCAGAAAAAATATTTATTTATATTTGTCTATAAATTTATAACTAAGTCTGTCTGTGTGTGTGTATGTATGTATGTATGTATCGATCTATCTATCGAAATATCCTTATCTAAACAAACATTAAAACTGTGAGTATATTTCTGTCAATTTAAGAAATATTTGTACCTATTACTGTCTGTTTAAATCTTTCACAGTCATTTCTAATTTTTATATATTTGCACCTTAATATTCTCTCTCTCTCTCTATCCATCTATTTATCTATCTATCTGTCATATAACTATACGTTTCTGTCCAATTCAGATTAATTTTCTTTAGATATATCTATTTCACTGTATAAATTAATTTATATCAGTCTCGCCATATTCATCTGAGTTTTTTTTTCATATTTATATACAATTAAATCAGTAATCTATCTATCTATTTCATATTTTCCAGTACTATCCATATATATATATATATATATATATATATATATATATATATATATATATATATATATATATATATATATACATATATATATATATATATATATATATATATATATATATATATATATATATATATATATATATATATATTCGAAAAAAGATTTGCTTTAAGATGAAAAACAGAGCTTCATACTTTAATTCAATTTAATTTTAATAATTATATTGGGGTATCCGGCCCTCGTTTTTGAAAGATGAGAACTCTTATGTCGCGAAGGAATCATATTTTAAAAAAAGTAATTATAATTTAGGATCTACTTTTGTATTGAGCACTGATTTTTTTTAAATAAAAACAAAAATACTAAAGAACTTCGGATTATTAACCTAACGTGTTCTTTCCTATTTTTCTATATATTGCCCCCCCATATATATATATATATATATATATATATATATATATATATATATATATATATATATATATATATATATCAGTATCTTTTATACCTGTTAACGACTCAATCAATATAACTAGCTATATTTGTTGCTATAAACCGAAAACAATTTTCATTTATCTGTCTAAACTTTTCTTTCTTACACTCAGAGCATGAAAATGCTGAGTTGCTGATATAATTGTATGTTTCGCATTGGTGTCAGTAGAAAAAGTTAAAATATCGAATACTAATGTTAAAAACATCAGTAAAATCACTACTTAGATGATTAGTACAAAACTATGTTTCAATTTCCCTGCGTATGGCTGTGTAGCGGACCGTGGTGGTGATGATATAAAAGAACCACGTGAGTTAAAATTTCCTGCTAGCCGGTCCAACTAGACGAGAAAGTTGAACTTTAATTAAATCCAAAGAAAACAAACAAGACTGATAAATATATATAAACAAATATATGTATTAACAACAAGTACAAGTTACAAGCACATGGACAGTTATATGGAGAGAGTGCGTGTGGTGAATATTATGTGTGTGTTGTGGTGAGTGTTCGTTCGTACGTGTATTGTTCTTAGCGTGTTCCCAGAATTTTAGGAAATGCTGTATCTGTGAGAGTTCACATATGCGAGGTGGCATAAGTCCCAAGGCCCGAGGAAAAAAAGAGATCAAGGCGAAGGGTCAGCCAGTATTTATAGCCAGGGGAGAGAGACCTCTGGTGAAGGGTTAAGGGACTAAAGAAGGAGCTAACTCAGACAATACCTCCCTTCAGATGGAAAGTTGTAGGAAATGAAAACTTTTAATATGTAAAAATAGGTATCTCCACAAAATTGCGAAAAAATAGAGCATAGTCTGATGAAAAAGACGCCAAAATTTATGAAAACAAAATTTTATCGTCAAAATGCTTATGTTTTTATGAAGAGGATAGACCAAATTTTTTTTTAATTATTTTTCAAAATTTTTCCATCTTTTTAGAATATTCTAAATTTTGATAAACAAGGTTTTTTAAAAAACCTTGTTTATCTTTTTTTGCAATAAGGAATACTAAATAACAGATAATTTTTAGCGCGTTTTTTTGGTATTATACCTATTAATTTGGAAAATCTTGTAAAAATAAAAATAATTGTCAGATGTTAATGAAACTTTCAGAAAATATTTACAGATGATCAAAATTATTATGAATATGTTTTTTTTATTAAAGTCATGTCAGAAATATTTTTTTATTTTTATTAACACCCACATATCTAATTTTATGAAAAACTCAAAAATTCCATACCATCGGTTTTTTAGTGATTACAATATTTAAAGCACAAGGCTTTGAAGAATGTAAATCATGTTTTTTTTTTTTTTTAATGAACCCATTACCTGAAAATCAGCTCTGAATTGTAACATACAAAACTCAATAAAAACAAATATACTATTTAATCTCAAACGCTTTTATTTGTCTTTATTTGTTCGTATGAATATGGACAATATTTTCTGAAAGCAAAAAATTTTTCAATGAAAATTGAATTTTTAATACAATTATTTCTCATTTCTTTAATTTTAAATCGAAATTTTAACACTTTTTCATTAAATTTTTTAAAAAATTATAAAAATAAATAACAGCACCATCCACCTTTGTACTTCTCTTTCTTAGCTCGTCATTGTCTAGGGATTTGAAAATTGTATAATTTGGACCAATCCGATGATCCCCACTTATGAAGAAATGTAATTATGTTTTGATAAAAAGCGCTTAAATGGTTTGTCATTAAAAAGTACGGAAGGTCACAAGCTATAAAACGTCACGTGGCTTGAGTTTAAGCGTAGATTTCATTATTTATAGTATTTATTATCTCTATAGATAGTATCAACAAAGTTATGTTTTAAGTTCCAGTAATAATAAAATAACAAAATAAAGGAAATTGGAATGCTAATTTTTTGTTTTTTATTATCTACTAATTACGGGGTAGTACATAAGCTGATTCACGTAAAAAAAAAAAAAAAAAACGTTACGTCACGTATGACCATCCGTATGATAACGCAAATCTCGCGTTAGCTGTCGATATGTGATGACAGGCATCACTCAGCACTTCAAAAATGACAACACAGTTCAGATCGCCTACTTTTTATTTCGAACAATTTTTTTATTCGAAAAAAGTAAGTAAAAGCTTCTTTCAAAATATTTTAAATAATCTTTAATTTTGCTAATTTTAGTCAAATAAATTTTGAAAAACGTAGAATAGATTTTTGGAATAATTATAAACAAGGATTTTAACTTGTTTACAAAATTAGAAAAAAAATGGCTGATAGCTACTTTTTTAAGTAATTTTGATGACAGAAATAAACAACTTTTTTAAATAAAATTTCGGACCTGATAAGAATGAGTAAAAATTTTTTAAAAATAATCAAAAAATAGTTTGGTTTTTCTTCTTAAGAATGATATATATATTTAAGCCGATAAAAATTTATTACATCGTTTTTTTTTTCATGCTATATTTTTTTTGTAGCAATTTTGTGGAGGTACCTATGTAAAAAAGTTCATGGAAGTTTTGAATATTGTCCTTATGGACTGAAAAGAAAATGTGTCGGAAGTGTGGTTGAGATGCATGATTCGACGAAATGAACTTGCGCTGTCGTCAGGGTGCTGTAAATTTACTCTAGTGGCTCAGGGGTGGGGAATGTCCTGGAAGAAATGTCGGTAGTGATCTGCGTTTGCTATCAAAATTTGTCTTTTTTCCAATGCTCCACGTTGAATTGGCTTTGTCGTCTCGTCAACCTGTTTGCTGGCCTGGTCATAGTTTTTTTTTTGAAAAACGAGGTTGTTTGTTTGGTATGCGTGGATAAAATTATCGCACAAGATTTAATAGAAGCAGCGTTGTATCAAAGTTGAGCTGATATAGAATTTCTACCGAGTGTCGAATGCATGTTTAAGAAAATTTGCTATTATTGTCGATTAAATATCGCACTTGTAAATTCTTCGTTGCATTGTTGATAAAGGACAGTGAGTCGCCTTTTGTGGTTGAAGGTAAAGGACAATGAGTCACCTTTTGTTTGAGATGTGGTTCAGACTTTATCTATTTCAGTCCAGAAGAAGAGAATTGAATTAATTGAAAATGGCGTTGCGTTTACAGTTTGGTAAGCCGGGTGAAATTAGGTCAAACATCGCCGAGAAAAAGAAAAGGTCAAGCAAATATAGACCAGTGGGGAAAAAGAGTTCTAAGGCTCGTCTCATAATAGTAATTGCAGTTGTTCTAGTGGCGATTAAGGCTTCTATGATTTCCACATGTTGAAAATTCTTTTTGCTGCACAGGAGAAAATTGTTTTGTAGACATGTTGTAGTGAATTAAAATTGTGATTTTGTACTTTCTCCAGTTTAATCACAAATTTTGTTGCTTTATAAGTTTTTTGGTTACTAGTGTACGGCGTGCGTAAAAGGATACGAGAAGAAATTTCCAATATTATGTTTTGACTGGCTCTCATTTGGAAGGTCTGTATCAGAATTTGTTTGTACATATATATTGTCCGGTGTGTGTTAGCAGGAGTTGAAAAATTATATCACGTCGGGGTCACCATTATGTAGCGGACCGTGGCGGTCCAGCTAGACGAGAAAGTTAGACTTTAATTAAATCCAAAGAAAAACAAAAAGGACTGATAAATATATATAAACAAATATATGTATTAACAAGTACAATTTACAAGCACATGGACAGTTACATTGAGTGCGTGTGGTGAATATTATGTGTGTGTGTTGTGGTGAGTGTTCGTACGTACGTGTATTGTTCTTAGCGTGTTCCCAGAATTTGGGAAACGCTGTATCTGTGAGAGTTCACATATGCGAGGTGGTATAAAGCCCATGGCCTGAGGAAAAAAAATCGAGGCAAAAGTTCAGCCAGTATTTATAGCCAGGGGAGAGACCCCTGGTGAAGGGCTAAGGAACTAAAGGAGGAACTAACTCCGACAGCTGCGTACCGAATTAAGTTAAATTTAAATCCTCAAATATCTGTTCACTTAGTAATGAAAAATGATAAGGAGGCTAATTCCACATGTCACTGCGCGTCCTGCAATTTGAAAAATCAAGTTTTCTTCCACACAATGCGTAGGATAGTAAGTATTTAGAATTATCTTTCTGCTTTATTAATCATAGTATTAATAATTTTTTCATCTTGTTAAATATCCAGAATAAAGAAAAGAAAGAAATTACGAGAACAGATAATAAGATATATTAATTAAAATGAAAAAAAAAAAAAACTAATATAGTCCCACAATAAATATCGTTGGAATGATGTTTGTGGTAAAATATTTTATTCTAATAAATACACAACGTCATTATTCGACTCCGAAAAATAAATTCCGCTTTTCAAGGTGGTTAAAGCAATTGTCAGCTAAATTGTTTATTAAATCGTGAAAAAAAAAAGGTAAAAAAAGAAAGAAATGAAAGCAAGATGAAAAGAAAAACAAAACGAAAAGAAACAAAAACTGAAAAAAATAAAGGAAAGTCGAACAAAAATCAACAAAAGGAAACCAAAAGGAAAACAAACAAAAAAATACAAAAAATTGATTCCAGTTTTCAAGCCAACAAGT